ACCCATCCTAGGTGGGGCCCCGCACCCCTGGATCTGAGGGATCCTGCGGGAGTTTAAGTGAGTTATGAGATGCCTGAAATATTAGCTCCTGAGTCAGTTTTATAGTCAAGTGTCTTGCCATGAACATTCAGTTTCACTCTCCAGACAGGCTCCATGTCCTCACAAGTGATGGATCCCAGAAACAACGGCTCTTGATTGTCTGTAATCTGAATCGGCTCCATAACTGCTCTGGTGCTGCAAACAGCTGCAAAATGTCCATATTTCATGCAAATAATTACCTCATGTGCCTCTGGCTTTTTCACACCGCTATGCGCCGTAAGTTATACCACAGCAAGTGCTAGTGTAGACATAGCCTAAGCTAAGCCATAGCTAGTTTCAGGTTTAACAATTTGCTCCTGTCTTTTGTTCTGTTGTTTGACTAATTCAGACTGGTTTGCTATTTGAATAGCTGTGGATAAAGTTAAATCTCTTCAGTTGGAGCTGCTGTGAAATTTTTTTATCTGTTAGCACACACAGGCAGGTTATTGGGTTATTTTCAACCTTTGCATTCCTGAAATCACAGTTTTTACCCAATATATGTGGAGTTTTTATAAAATATTCCAAACTTTCCCCTGGTTCTTGAGTTCTCTGGTGGAAAGAAGCTTCTTCATAAGCCGCATTTCTCTGAGGTATAAAGTATGCATAGAACATAGTCAGAGCCCTTTCATAGTCACCTTTGTGACTGTCTTCAGTAAAGTCAAAGAATTTAAAAATATGCTCGGCCTCCTTCCCATAGCCTACATTAAAGACGATACCTGCATATCTCCAGTTTCTTTATGCAGCTTGGCAGCAATGTGAAATCTTGTTTCCAGTGTGTCCATGGTGAAGTTTGTGAAAGCTGAAGTTCTCTGGGGCACTGAAGAGTGGCACGGTGACGAGATCCTGCAACCTTCCTAGCTTTGTTCCTTCTGTTTATGTTCTTAATTTATTCCACATGCCATGTCATGTTCTTCTGTACCAAACATGGACTGGTCACAGAGCTTGCTTTTACATACCACGATCCTTTAATGCTCTGCCAGGAATGGCTGAGATCAGCTTAAAACAGGGGAGGGCAAACTCCCCAGCCCTCTATCCAACCCCTCCCCTCACCCGCCCCCTCCCGCTCCCTGCCCCCTTACCGTGCTGCCTGGAGGGTCACACCACCACGCACCACAAAGCACCGGATCAGGCTCTCAAAGCACCGGATCAGGCTGTGCCTCCTCAAACAGCCAGACGTGGCCCAGCCCCCGCCCCCATCTGCCCCCCCCAGCTTCTTACCCCCTGACAGTCCCCCCGGGACTCCTGCCCCATCCAACCCCACACCGTTCCCTGACCGCCCCCGCCGGGACCCCTGCCCCCATCCATCCCCCCCGCTCCCTGTCCCCTGACCGCCCCCAGAACCTCCACCCCTGACTGACTCCTGCTGTCCCATCCAACCCGTCTTCTCCTTCTTGACTGCCCCCCAGGACCCGTGCCCCA